CACCCACAATTGATTCCTTGAAGCACAAACTGGATACAGCTTTGACAAGTCTTAAATTCCAACATCCGTAGCAGTGCACGAAACAAGGATAAATTGTGAAATTTATCTACATTCTCCGAACCGTGAATCAATTCATATATGGTAAACCCTATGGGGCTAGAAAAGCAACCGCTTGTATTTCGTTTAATAAAACTTTTAGTTTCACTTTTACTTATCTCAGATCATCACATTCCATGTAATATAGCTGTTCAATGCTGGTCACCAAAAATGCCTCTTTTATAGTCACTTTTCGTCTGTTCTCCTATTCTGCTTCGCGTTTTTTACTTCCATTCTGTTGTAGACTTGGTATTTAATAATATTGCCGAAAATGTTGAGAACATGCGTAAAATATATCAACCAAAAATTCGGCAGTTAATTAATGTTCGTTTGTATAACAAAAACTTAACATAATTTCCAAAAAGAAAACATGTGAGATAGTTACTTTCAGTTACAGACAAAGTACAAACTGAAGAATTGTGGTCAGGCATTCCCTCGATATCAGTTTTACACATTCACTGGCAAACCATCAAACATTCACACAAAACTCCTGCTCAGCAGCCGGGGTTTCTGTTTGACTAATTCGCATCAGCACGTCCGTTCACTATGTGGAGAAAATCCAGGAAAATCCAAAAAAATAAAAACTCCAAACTAAAACAGAAAAAAAACAACCATAAAAGTTGTTCATGAAATCAAATGAATTAGTCCAAAAATCACCTTCAACAATTGAAAGTATTTGTATTAAGAATTCTCTGCTCCCAAATTGAAGCTCAGTGGTTCGAACCTCGGTAAGGACAAGAAAAAAACTCATTGTTGATCCATACCAGTTACAGCTAATCAATAGTTAAATTTCAGGTAGCACACAAAAGTGTTTTCAGTGCAACTATGAATGTTCGCTAAAAACAAAATGTTTGGAGTATGATGAAGCAACAGACTGTGGAAAATAGTGCTGAAACTCATTTGACTATATATTTATGGCAGTTAAAAACTGCACGAAGATTTGTTCCGTTACCGTCCCATAACCGATATGTTCAGTATCGGAATAACTTTTCGCGCACCTTGAAAGAACTTTATGATAGATTACGCTGGTTGGGGCATGTGCTATGCATGTCACCAGATAGGTTGCCACTGCGAGCGTTGCTTGGCGAGACAGATAGCGGTTGGAAAAAAATGGAGGGCGAGGGTTAAGACCTGGCATGAGGGTATGAAAACCCTGACCAGGAGACTGGCTCAAATAAGTCCCGTTAGGCTCCCTGGCTAGGGACCCAGAGATCATGATCACCGGTGGTCAGAGACACTGAGCGATATTGCTGGGTGTCGCAAACACTGGCGATTATGCTATCTTCCGCTTGAATCTGTTCTCAACATTCTAATCATCATTCTGTTATTTTATCCAAATGGGCAACCAGAAGACAGCAACCAAAACCGGCTCACGAAAGTGCATGGTTAATGGTTGTAAGAACTGAACTGATTGATACGGGAATAATGTAGCAGCATTCATCGATGTCGCGAACAACTTGATTCTGTATTTATTTTATTTCTTTTTCAGAAAATATGAAATTGATACTTTATTGTGTCACATGAATCCGTTTTTTTGTTTTTCTCTCTCATAAAAGCATTTGTGTAGACAAGGCCGTGAAGCGGTACAAGTCACCTATGCGCTAGATGTACTTTCGGTCACCCCATTGGTAGATGAGGTTGCAGAAACGTCTCCCGAATCATATACATCCCACATTCAAGGTCGCATACATCTACGCTTGGCCAATGTCGGACGACATTCGCCAACTCCTGCCACGGTGATTACCGTGTTCAATCGGAAACAGCGCAAATTTATGATCAGCCCAGATGATCAGAGTGGTAGTTTCGGGTAAGTGAATACGACACGTATTGCGAGATACCTTTGAAGCCTAACTATCCAGTCGCATTTGGTTCACTTTCAGCTATAACAGTTTGATTATCTGTAACACATGCATTATGAATATGGCAGAGCAGCTCTTTGGTAGGAGTATATTCATTTATTGACTGAACTGCCCTTTGACATTTGATAATTCCAAGTATTTCTCCTTTTTGTGATCCTTTTGGATTTTTAAATTATTTGACCGAAAAACATTTAAAATTGTAAATAGATTAATGTTTTCCATTTTCAGATTTGCTGGAGGGGCACTCTCCAGTGCATTTCTTCCCGATACCGGTCCAGTTCAAGGAGCTCTTGTGAACGCAGATGTCAACTCAAGCTGTCGACTAGTCCGAGCTCGTCCACTAACGGAAGTGAGTCCGGAACTGCGTGAAATGCTCCGCATCGCACAAACTGAACGCCAAGCGACCGAGGTGGCCTCGGACAAGCTGACATCAAATTCGTCGAGGCAGAGAAAATTGTCCCGTTTATATACAGCACTTCAGGCTGTTAATCGGAATTTTTTCGTAAACGATCTTGTGGGTTATACAACACTTTCCGGTGTCAAGGTGAGCACTTATTACGTTTTTATTATTTAGCAATAAAGTATATTTGAATAGCATTAATAACAATATGACTGGTCATAGTCATGATAGAATCACATTTTCTATCCTTGACCCAATGTAGCACTCAAATGTGGTTTGCACTCCACTAGGCATTTACTGCGGTTTCACGGCTAAAAATGGAGCACCTTCAACGCAAACAGACCTTGTCTCTCTTCTCTGCTTCTAACCGATTCGTAACCCTGAAGGCTGGTGCTTAGATTCGTTGTGTGCGATGCCTGCAACAGGCTGGCGAAAATGAGCTTGGCTATATCATATATAGATAAAATGCTCAGCTGGCCGGTAGTCAAATGCATAGTATGCTTGAGTTTCACTTGAATCGAAGGATGCGCACTGCCGCCTTCAACCCAGTCAGGTCAAAACAGCTGTCCAGGACCCCTTCTCTTATCAAATCACGCTTCATTTGCTCTATACTCAAAGAACTTCACGGTCTAATGTATTCTGTTGAGCAATAAACTTTTATTGGTTGTTAGTGGACAAAATATCCTTTACTGCTCCCTGGTTTTGCAACCTCTGTACACTTCACTACTTACTTTTTACCCTCACCTTAACTGAACTATTTCGGAGTGATTTACCCAACCTCGTCTATCTTTATACTTGAAGTTGCCTTTGTAGGCTTTGGACATACAAGAGTAACCAGTGAGGCTGAGGGTGGTTCCAAACTAGCGCATGTCCAGTAGTTTGGTTCATTTTCCCCCTCTGTAAATTTCTCTTTTGTAGATAGCAAGAGATAACATTCAATCATGGGTTACATTGGCCAGATAGAAGTACCGTGGTTAGACTATTGTGAATTTTTGAAAGGAAAATGTACGCCTTGCGAAAATCGATCACGCCCGCGTATGCTTCAGCTACTAGTTGGTGCTCCTGTCATCAAGTGAACCTGAATCTGCTTTATACACTAATATCCAGTGATTTGGTCATTCAGATTGTCTCGGGGTTCCCATTTTAGGTACCTTTGTATGAGTCTAATAGATGATAAGATATACGGAGCTGTATATGATAGAGGTTGATGTTTATATCTACCCCATTTCTTCTTCATCATTTTAGTTAAACCGCATTCTGCATCTTTTTCTGACACCTCGATTTCTATTACTATCGTCTACCCAGTAGCGACATTAGTGTACCTTTTGAGTTTCACTCCCTTTTCTAAGTTAAAGCCTCCGTTTTTGTTTGTCAAAAGTCTTCATTATTTCTTCACCAAAGCACCAAAAGCTACCGCACAAAGTGCGAAGTTAGCGGTAACGGTATATACCGGAACCAAGAAAATCAAGTTGTTGGCTTGTTTCCTAAACGCGATCTGGAAAGGTGCCGGGTAGCATACAGCTCTCTCTCTCTCAAAACAGTTCGGTGATATATCAGAAAATTTGTTACACCTGACTAACACGAGTGTTAGGCTTTTCAAGCAATGTGATATACCTAAAAATAAGCTTTTTTCTCAAATTCCATTGCATCATTATTTTGCTATCTGAATCTGTTATCTTATGTGTATCGTGTATGACCAAACAAATCTAAAGCATTCCATTAATTTTAAACTTCTCGCCACCGATTCTCTATTCTCGTTGCAAACTATCCTCCCCGGGAATATCGATTACAGAACACTGCGTTGGACAAAACCCTGTTGTGATCGTTGCACATCTAATTTCGAACTTCTGTTCATACACTTAGGTTTGCGGCACAGACAAAGCACTGGAATTACGCACCATCTGTAACTATCGTGAGCAGAAGAAACGGGAACAGATTGAACGCATGCTCAGTCGGGCACAGACAGTGGAACATTGTTTGGAGACCAGTTTCGGGTGTACGGAATTCTTTGAATATAAACTGACAAACCCACACAATCAAGAGGACACAGTGCGGATCGATATTGAGGACAGTGAGTAAGTACCTGTTACTTTGGAAAGTCAGTGTTTTCTAACGTTGCCACTGAGTGAGAATGTTTTACTTTGGAAATTATAAGATAAGCGAATTAAACCGAATTACAACCATTTTTTTGTAATTGATGAGATCGTTCTCAACTGAATTTGCATACTGTTTCCACCAATAATATAGATTCAATTGGCACGTTAGACGGGAGGATACTCATTGACTTATGAAGCTGAAACGCACACCTCTGATTGATGAAGCTAATATTTTATTAACATGAGCAATTGATTCATAATTATTTTCATCATGATTCAGTCACTTGCAGGTTATGCGATCATAAACCTTACCACTATATGCACTATTATTGATTGTCATGGTTTAGTTACCCATTCGATCGGCAGTGAACAAAGTAAGTAAAACAAAGTTGAGACCAATAACACGATAAAGAGAAGCAATGTGGCTGAACTTTATCTGGGTAGAAAGCCGGTAGATGCTTTATTGGCTTGTCCNGCTTGTCCACAATATTAATTTATAACAGCAAGTGTGTTTTACCATTGATTAGAACGGTTCCGAGGTCCCCAACCGGCCTAACATGTCCTACATGACTCAAGCCCCTTACCAACGCTTTCATACTTTCACGTCATATCAGTGTCTGAGCACCATCCACTAAATCGCGCTCCTTGGAATTCCGTTCGGTCTCAGGCGTTCCGTGTGACCCAACTAAAGCACTAGATCAAACACTTTCGTGGCTGAGTAACTGCCGGATCTATCGATTTATCGTTCGATTGTTCCACCAAACTCGATCAATGCGGAAAAGGTAGCCGTATTCAAACACCTATATTATGTGTTAACTCAACTTTTCTCAACCTGGAATTACAATACCAGGCGGTTTGAGCTGCTGTAATAGTTATCTCCAATCCTTACTTCGCTTACTTCTCGCTGGTAGCATGCTCCGTCGATTGTCTGCCGCACATGAAGAGTGCACGCGTGAGAACCAGACTGGTTTTAGATCTGGTCGCGGTTGTAACGACCATACCTTCACGCTGCTCCAAACTCTTGAGCACCGACATTCTTTTCGTAGACCCATTTCTGTTTTCTTGGATCTGAACGCGGCTTTCGACTCAGTCGACCGCTCTAAATTCTGGCGCTGCCTTTTCCTGAAGGATGTGCCCGAGAAGTATATTTCAATATTACGATCCCTTTATACTCCTGGCCGAAGTCGAGTCCGGGCTTACAGCACGTTTTCACTGAGTTCATCATGGAAAGTGGTGTTCGGCAGGGTTACTCGCTCTCTCTCTCTCCCTCCCTTTTTCTACTTAACTTCCTTATAGATTTGATTATAAAAACAGCCCTATCCTCGTGCGAGGATAGTGGCATCGATGTACTCCCAGGTGGCAGACTGTCTGATCTAGGGTATGCAGACGACATTATGCTGATAAGTGAAGATCCAGGTAAGCTGCAAGCTTTTCTGGATAGTTTTAGGGTTAGTGTAGTCATGTTCGGTATGCGTTTTGCACCTGTAAAGTGTAAAACGCTACTACAAGACTGGGTTGGTCCAGCACCCAGCTTCACTCTAACTGGGGAAGTAATAGAGCAGGTGGATAAGTTTTATTTTATCTGGGCAGCTACATCTCACCCGGTGGACGCATCACGGATGAATTGTCTGCTCGAATACAGAGGGCTCGGTTGGCATTTGCCAACTTGAGACATCTGTGATGCCGTCGCTGTCTGTGAAGGGTCGAATATATGTCGCGGCATTTCGGCCAGTTTTGCTATATGGAGCAGAAACTTGACCATTAAGAGAACAGGACAAAAATAGACTGTCGGTGTTTGAACATCGCTGTGCACGCAGCATTGTGCGAATCTGATGGGACAACTGGACGAGCAATGCTGAAGTCAAGCGTAAGGTTTTAGGCAGACGCAATCTACCACTGAAGCCAGTGATCGACCTCCATAGATTACGTTGGTTGGGGCATGTGTTATAATAGGAAGTTGTGACTAAGTAAAAAACTTCCTCATCCCAATTAGATCGTCTATGGTGAACCAAAGCCATTTTAGTCGAGTACATCAGTGTTAGTATGCAAGAAGGAGCAGTATTGAGCAGGCTCGTTTTTTGATGTTTTATCCCCTGATACATACGAATTTACATCACAATACGTGCGATCATTTATTTGTTCCTATAAAACAAAACGTATTGGCCACATTGGTAATCACTTACTTGAACGAGTACGCAGTCAACACCCAACCTATCTGAACAGTGAAATGACCAAGTCCATCTGCCATTCTTTCGTTTCGTACCCCATGGAGTCAAACTACGGGTTTAAGGTAGATTATACTTCAGATCTTGGCTGCAGCAGAAGCGATGGGAATCCATTTACTCCAAAAGAAACATTTCTTAAAAACGCTCAGTCCTCTATGACCATCACTGCACCCGACTCAGGCGTTTCTCCTGCCCTCTCCCCGTCGTATACCAAACCAGCGCATAAGTGTATTGACCAGAGTATGAGCAATATCGGGTCATAGATCTGGACATGTTACTTTCTTTTCAGTTTGTAATTCATCCTACGCTATAGAACACTGTCATCCACATTGTGATTTATAAACAAGCAGCTGAATTCTCGAGAACGAACTTCTTCACTGCTGTATATTTCCCATGAGACCATTTTGATTACTCTTGATTATATATTAACCCGTTTCCAATTGACCACATTGTATTCAGAAACAACACGGTAGTAATCACGGATCCTCGGGAAACAAAAACCTTCAAGGCAGCTTTGGGCATAACCACGCCGACAGAGGATGATCTATTCACCGCTGATCTCTCCGCATCTCAGAACACCGGACCACAAGATGAGCGAAAATCACGTCTCGTGATCTTTCTTCGACCGAAAGAGTCCGTACTAATTCCAATAAAGTATATGGAATCAAAAATGTTGTTGGTGAACCAAATCACTGTGAAAGATTCGTTCACAAGTGTGAGCAGTAGTCTGTTTCTCATTTTACAAGTATTTTTCTACCTCTTCGTTTGTTAACGGAATTGGTTCACCGTGATGATTTTTAGAAATTCACTCCACTAATGATCATAAGCATTTGGTGGAATATTTATTCATGTAATTGAATCAATAACTTGCATAAGCTATTATGAGTCGCATAAGTATATAAGGAATGAAACGAACAGTCCAGAAAACCAGTAGTTTAGTATCGTATCAAGCAGATCAGCAAGTCGATTTTTGTCCGTTTTTCTTAAATTATCTACGGACTACCATGAATGGTCGAGACTTGAGTAAAAAATGTGAATTGTTACGTACCCGGGAAGCGTGTCTGTGTATGTGTGCGCGCGCTTGCGCTGTTTTCAATACATGCATTTCTCGGTTATCGTTCGTTTTTGTCAAAACCTTTTCTCTTTTCTCTTTTTTTAATTTACTTCCTTTTATTGAACATACAAAGATACAATTTTAAGGAACGGGGAAGGGACCAATCAAAGGACTGACATTCAACACACACAAATAGGGGAAAGTCAGGTGGTGGTGGTGGTGGTGGTGGTGGTGGTGGTGGTGGTGGTGGTGGGATTCGAACAGGCATCTCCGGTCCACCATCGCCTTAATCCTAACAAATTAGATAAATAGGTTTATAAATGGACGTTAATTACACCCGCCTGGTAAACAAAGATCACAATGGAAAGAGGATCATGACCTTCAGATGTGTGTATTTCACTCATTATTATTGACTATTAGCAGTTTAAAATACAGTGCAAAAAATTCGGGGATTGTGTAAGGAAGACACGTAGTTTGGTTAGTTTTCTCTGTGTACAAAAAAGGTGACGTGCAGGTTAGCTGACATAACATAACTTTTCCAAATAACAGCAGCTTGACACCCATTTTCGTAATCGCAGTTTCAACCATTGAGTCAGATCAACCAGCTAGACTGTCGAATAAACGTGCTTCATATGTTTTTACCGAAAATATCACTACATAATTCCAAATCATATCTAACTTTTAGGCACACTTTGACAATAATATGTTGTATTAAAATATGAAAGTTGAAATATTTAAAAAAATAACTCACGATATTTTTTTTAACCCACCCGTTTTGATAAGCGTGAATTGCTTATGCTGATAGCATTAAGACAGCATCCTTCTTTCCTGAAAGCACAAATATTCCGGCTAATTACCAGTAGTTTGCCTAATAAGAGTCTACCAGGAGTGTATGGTGAAAGTAATTTATTGAACATTTTCAGTTACTTTACTTCAACTACGCAGTGCCCAAGGCCATCGTCTTATCGACTCAACAGGTATGTGTTTCAAATAATCAAAACCCACTTTTATCCTCCGTTATTGGGCGCTGATGAACTACCTATCCTGTCCTAAAAATTGTTTATTGTCGATTTTACAAAACAAGGTTAGGGGACATTCCGTTAAAAGTAACCCCTTGCGCCCTTTATCGCTCTCTCTCTCTCTCACCCAATACGCCCTATATGAAGGTCACTGGGAAAACGTCAAAAGAAGAGAACCGTTGCGTTCAAGTACGTCACACATTTACAATCATCTTTCAGTATTAATTATTCTTTTACTTTTTTGTTTACTTTGACTGCCTTTATCATGCTTCATGAGTTATACCTGTCAAATATTAACCACGAAAAAGATAGATTTAAACTCATTGAGATAGCCGAAATATGCGTCTCTTGTGTTGTTCAAAGGGCCTTAGTAGCGTACATGTCAGACAGCATTAGTAGTGCATTGCTCACTGCGTGTTGTTCTGTTGTTACTCATTTTTATCACAGCTTTCCTCATCCTTGTTGCTGAATTTCCATTGCTTTTTTACGTATCATTTTAAATTCCTATCGGGTCGTTTCTTGCCCTTCATTATATCTGCTTTCCACTGCATAGTGGTATCCTCATCAAAATTAACTCACTGATATTGAAATAAAATAAAACCGACATATCTTTAAACGAGGCTTCCTATCTTACTTTTGGGTTGATGGCTATTACGGAGACACACGAATTTGCTCGCATTGACTCAACATGATCACATTGCTTCCGGGCCATGTAGGGCTATCCTCAAAAAAGTCACAACAAATCAGATGAACTAGATGAAAAGGACAAATAAAGCATTCGAAGAAACGAACGAAAAACATCTCTGTACTTGTCATTCTTTGTCAACTGTTTCTCTTCATTTGCTCCATGCGTATCTAACCGTCCTTTTGCATATTTATTGTTCTCATGTTGGCACCGTGTTTGTTTCCGAACGACGAAAAAATACGTTTCCGGATGTGACCTTCCAGGCAGCGAACAAATTTACAATGCCGAAGATTACTAACTGAAGTGTTCTGAAAAGCATTTTAAGAGGGATAGGCAACACGACAGAGTATAAAAACAAATCTAATTCGTAAAGTTTGGGATGATGGTCACCGATGGTTAGAGACACTGAGTGATATGGCTGGGTGTCGCATACAGTGGCACTCATGCATCCATTCATTATTCCCCTATCACTACTCTCTATGAATTCTCAATCTTCCGCTTGGATTTGCTCTCAACATTTCAATCTTCATTATGCTCTTTTAGCTAAATGGGGCACCAAAAGACAGCAACCAAAACCGGTGCACGAAAGTGCTTGGTTAATGGTTGTAAAAACTGAACTGACACTTATTTCTCAAACAATATTGGTATTCTAAAATTGTTCAAAACTTTCATTTAGTTACCATTTCATATAACTACCTTTCTTAAAATATGATGTGATATCGAGTCAACTTATCATCTCTGATTCCATCCCAAAGTGAAGTTGAAAAGTGCATTTTGGATTGAACTTTGGTTAAACTTTTACTTACTCCTACTGTTCTTTGCCCTTTTCAGATCAACTTTAAATCAACAAAAACCGGAAAGCTCTTGTCACAATTAATTCTGAGAATTCACGTAAATCCGGCCGTAATTGATCAGACCTTTCGTTTTTTTCATCCGGAGCTCAGTTATCTGAAAAAATTGATCCGATTGCCACCACTTGTCCTTCGAAATGTGCATCCATCATGTGCGGGGGCTTCTGACTTCGCGAATCCCTGTCAATTAACACATGCAAATGTGAGCAACCGTGTTTGGACTCGTGTGTCCGATCCCGGTATTTTGACCGAGTCTGGGAGTATCAATCTAGGACAGCCCACAGATCTCCTAGTGAAAGTTGGTCTTGGAAACTGTCCCGAGGTAATTGTTTTGACTTGGTGAAGTTTTGGCAAACTGATTGTGCGATATGATGGACTTTGATTAACCTGTATTCGTTTTATTGATATTGTTTTTACAGTGCATTATTAACTAGTACAGTTAGATCCACTGTACCGCTGTGCTGAAAGTGGATACCTGTTAGAATTATGTTACAGGGAAGGAATGACGTGTTAAACTCACCACTATTCTTCACCTTTCCATTGGAATATTCACTTCCATTTTAGGTCCGAGAATTCTTGATTGCAGTTTATCTGGATCCTTTCCAAATCCGACCGGCCTACGTGTGGCAATGGACCGTACATGCGTTACATCGCATCGACTTGGCAGCCACCTTAGGTCAAATTTCTCCTCCTACCGGAGTTTTATTACGTACAGAAGGCATACTACCTGCTGGAAGTTCAAGACGAGTTGCTATCTATACCAGTAGGCCACAGGAGGTAATTCTCGGCACGGAATGCGAAGCAGGAATGAATTCAGTAGTCGATCAGGTTGCTGGTCTGAGTTTTCTTCTATCGCCCGGTGCTGTGTACGAGTTAAAAGTGAGTCAATTCGAACTGAGTTGCCCGCAAACCTCTCAGAAATGTTAGTTCTCTATCAGATACAAACGGTTCACCCATTTGAGTCCTATTATCACACTTATGTCTTTGAAAGTCCTTTCAGTCGTAAAGCTTTTTCCTGCCTGCTAGGAACCGTCAGCAATGTATGCGCATGAAACTTGTGATGGCTCATTTATCATCAAGCCTCCCGGGCTTAGCTCCACGGAACGGTTTTACATCAGCACTGAAAGAACGAATTTTTGAGACATTTTCTTCTGTCTAAATACTTTATTTTGGTGCAAAAAATGTTTATGGTGTACAAATTGAACTGAAACTAGGGTGCTTCCAAATTTTCCTGAAAATTCTCGGAGATGCGTATATATATATATATATATGTGTGTGTGTGTATGTGATCGGTGAACTTGAAATGCATATATGCTGTCTTATTACTGTTTACGTATGTGACTTAACTGCAGATATAAACGTGGCGTTAGCGTTCTCGAATTCTCCCCCGGATAAAAGACCCCCGGAATGGTCTGAAATTCTTTCAGTGTACCGCCAAAACACTGATAAACAGATGAACACCATAGCACAACATATGGGTACTGCCTGAAGCTACACTGTACGATATACCATTAAACGTGTTAAAGATATGGTGCTCGCATCTGGCTCCCGTTGGGGCTTCCCGGCTGGGGCCCCAAAGATTCAGATTGTCCTGGGCTGGAGACACTGTGGGATATGGCATCGAACCGAAGTCAGTGATGTGAACGCATTCGTTCTTGTGTGCGATCCCAAAAGTAAATAAAAGACGAAAAGTCTCAAAATGGCGTGCAGTAACGAAACAAAAGTGAACCTTTTTTGTTTACCCCGCTTTTGTTCTTAGATTTTTCATTTACCCATGTTTATTTTGGCGCCGTATCTGTAGGGATTGGTTTTATACATACTAATATATATATATATATATATATATATGACTGGTGGTGTACATCCAGGGGAAGTTTGTCCAGTCATTCACATGCTACTTTTTATGAAATGTATATATGTATATGTGAATGAAGCCCACGCACTCCATTAAATCAAATCACGAACTTGTACTTCTTATCAGCGGAAAAAGAGAATGCTGCACGGTCGGTGATTATTTGATCTGAAATCGGCAAGAATACTTGTCTGAAGGGACTCGGACATCATCAGTGAACATGATTGTTACACGAATTCGTTGGTCAAACTTATCCCTAAATTTTAAAGAATTCAGGCTACACACTGTACAAAATGTTCATCACCCCACTCAGCTTATCCGCTCTGTCCCGGTAACGGGGAGAACACCGTTCATTACCATTTAGAAAAATGTAACCGACTTTGATTATGACTTTGATATACTTACTGATTTACCCCAGAAAACTTGTCCATGGTTGTCCATGTGTGGAATGCTATCAACCATCCTAGCTGCGAACAAACATCGACCATTATTAATCATGATTGAAATACCACCTCCAAGCATGATTCCAAACAGATCCCGAATCGTTCGAGATACGGGTGTGTTTATCTTATTGAAGATAACCTTTTTTCATTCAAGGGCAGTGTGAAATACCTTTTCATGCACGTAAGCGAACCGCAAATAGTTTCCAACTGGTTCAAATTCAGACTATGAGCTAGTCTATTTATTTTCATGTTTCACTATATCAGTCACACGCTAACGAAGTGTACTGCATGTATTGAAATGTAATTGTCTTGCAAACTAATGCAAACCACTCGGAGGAAAACCGCACTGAAGTTTTTTACTTAAAAGTCAATGGTTTGATTTCCTCTGGGAGCTGTCTCAAAAATGACACCTCAAGCCATGAACACCATCTTGTTCCTACGCGATTCGCAACAGTTGCACAGTTAGGACTGTTGAGACCAACCTTTTCACCGTTACGAAAATATCCGTTCAGAAGTCCAGTTGATATAACTTCTAAAACATGCAAGCCAATCATCGACAAGTCGGTAGGTTACCGCGGTACTTATTTCATCTTCCTGAGTTGTAATTTCGGTGCAGCTTGTAATAGTTACTGTACTTGACGCATACTGACATCCAAGTGCAATGATCACTCTAACTTAGAAACACTAGTCACTTCACTAGAGGCAACACCTGGGAGCTGTCTCATGCTTTGGGCAGAGATCGAGCTATATTGAGGAATTAGTCCGGTAATCTTGCGATTACCGAGACTTGCAGGCGTGCATTTATTTTTATTTCGGTCTAGATAGCATGACACTGCTTCCAATTTCATTGTTTCGATGACGGAGGAGTTCATGAACTTGCCCATGAAGCATATCTTTGGTGTTCATCCATCGTTCACCTGCCGTGTGCAACTGGATTACTACTGAATGATAATGTATCTTGTGGTATTGCCCACCACATCTGAGACATAAGTGTCTGATAGAACTCACGAGGCAAGTTGCAGGATTTACTGTAACGGCAGCACTTGGAGTGGGCTGAATTGGACTTTGCATCCCCAGGGGCAGATTTCCAGGAAAAAAATCAGTTTGGTAAAGTCCTCATTAAAATCCGTTTGGTTTGTCCACGCGGTAATGGACTCTCTCCGCATTATACCAAATTGGATTGGTACGCGTGGTTTAGTTATTGAGAAATTGCAGAAAAAATGGGCGGGTGGAGTTAATAGGAGTTTGTGGATTTCATTATAGGTCTAAAACACACATGTACTGCGGAAAAAATTCACTAAAGGTTAAGCCGTAGCTTCCAATAGCTGCATTCAGTCGAACAACGAGTGCTTCAAAGTTCCAAACATCTATATAATTGAATATTAGTAATTCGGGGCGTACAGTGAGCGGTACACGTAACAGTGTATGTATGACCCAAAGAGGTGATAGTAGTCTCCGGGATGGCTGAATTTAATATTACAGACGGAGGTGATTGAGCAAAATGAACTTTTGGGTGAAACACTGAATTCAATAATCAGATCTTTGGTGATGATAAAAGTTCAAATTGGATGGTCCCGATAGCACAATCTACCTACAATATGACGTACTGCAGACAAACCTCGACTTCAGCTGCCAAGCCCTGGGTGCGAGCTCTACCCCGGGGTAGTATTTTCACCGACAGTAAGTCGCGGCTGGCAGTTCTCAAAGGAGAGCAAAAAGCCAATAAGTAGTTCGGGACCTTAAACAACCTCATTGCTAGGAGCTATTTGACGAGGTGCTCTACACTTCTGTGCTAGGATCAATGTATCGAAATGAAGGATTGACTTGACTAATGTACGTTCTTATACAGATTCGGAGTTAATTATCCCGAAACAAACTGGTTGCCTCCTCGATCGTTTTCAAATAATCATACTTATGACGGATTTTACAAATCCACACAGAACGCATTCGTGCTGAATGACATTTCGTCCTTAACTGCATTCCTTTGTCTAAAATGTCCATCTCATAATTCTTGAACGCTAACACAAAAGCACAAAGAGACTGGTTCAACCTCGCCACTTACCCTGGCCCCAAAATTGATCATCAGCATCACCACCACCACCAACACTCCAATCACAATCAGTCTCACCCAAACACAGACACACAGGGCTTACCCCTGCCCTCTCCCTATCCCAAATCACCTTTCGACCCAGCGTGAAAATGTGTCCCCACTAACAAAAACCCTTATATTGTTCTTTGGCAGATTTGAAGTTTGTATGTCGAGATTGTGAAAAGTTCAGTAGCCTCGGTGGGATTCGAAACCACGCATGGACGCCGCCTAAGCTTTGTAGGTGCATGCTCTACCAGCTGAGCTACGAGGCTACGCGTGTGCAAAGATCAGTGCTATCGGTGTTTAACTCATTGCTACCATTTTTTCCACTGTAGGAGGAAAATTGTCACATTATTGAAGGTGGTTTCAACCATGCGTGAACCCTACCTCTCATCGCTTTTATGTTCTATGTTCTTCCAACTAAAAGCATCTCTGCTTTAAACAGAATCATTACAAATCATCCTGAAATCTTTTCCCTCGATCTAATGTGATCTTGTTTCGATGTATTTTTCCGCTCACTCTCTCAGACAAAGGAACCTAATTTGGCTCATTTCTGCAGCACTCCCGTGGAAACCATACGTATTTTTCAGAGATCCCCGTCCCGTGCAGCCTCATAGTTCTCTTTCAAACGTGTTATAGATAATAATGTTACATTTTTTTGATCTGAGTTGTCCGTTTCTGTAGAACGGTCGTACTGACACTTCTACACTAAAATCAATAACCAGGAGCAAGTACCAAAGCCCGGGGTTCATCACTGCTCAGATAAGTCAAGTCAAGTCAAGTTTCCACAATAATAATAAAAATAAATTAAACGAACTAATTCGTCATATGCCTGCGAACTTCGCAGTAGCCATAGACCTTTACGTAGAGGCATTGGGTTTCAACGTGGAGAGAGAGAGAAAAACAGAGTTGCGGGGTATCAACCACACATTTATATAGCCAAGTTACGACACTTTCAAATTCAGTATTCTAGCCAAAGCCTTTCATTCGATTGGTCTAAAATCATGTAAAATGTAATATACACTTCTCAAAAGAATGAATTTGTTTGTTTCAGTGTTCTCCAATTTGCATGCAAAAATAAACACGTCCAATGTGAATATTGTTTCATCCCTAGTTCATCATGTGACTGATTTCCTAGACGCATCTGAGAAATGTGCTTTCTCAGGTTTTTCATTCACCTGTTGCTCCATTGCACGCTCCCTGATTTGTGCAATGTCAACCAGCACTGGTCGCTTATCAAGAGTGCTATGCATTCTGCTGGCTTAGTTAG